TGCACCATTGTACTTCAGCCTGAGATACAGAATGAGACCCTGTCTCAAAAACAAAGCATTTTCAGAATACAGGCACAAAGACAGGTTGCTCTTCCAGACTTTAACATTTATATTTAATACTAGCAACCAAGGGTGACAATAAACGATGTTGTGTTTGGGATGGCATAGACCAGGGAGTGGGGTGCATGGCATTAGAGCCGTGTCCTAGAAGCCCGCTGCCATGCAGACGCTATTCTGTAGTTGGCAGAGTGTGCAGGCTTTAAGAAGGTCTTGAGGGAGGAGGAATCAGGAATACTAGGGTAGCCAAGGATGTCCAGAGGCTCAGGAAGCAAGGATTTACCATCAGAATTGGAAGCATTTCAGTAGTTCTTTCCTTTTTCTTTTTATAGTTTTATTTTATAGATGTGGGGTCTTGCTGTATTGCCCAGGCTGGTCTTGAACTTCTGGGCTCAAGCAGTCCTCCCACCTTAGCCTCTCAAAGTGCTGGGATTACAGGCATGAGCCACCATGCCTGGCCTCTTTTTTCTTTTTCTTTTCTTTTTTTTTTTTTTAAGATGGGGTTTCACCATGATGGCCAGGCTGGTCTTGAACTCCTCACCTCAGGTGATCCACCCACCTCAGCCTCCCAAAGTGCTAGGATTACAGGCGTGAGCCACTGCGCCCGGCCCGGCCTCTTTTTCATTTGAGACAGGGTCTTGCTCTGTCATCCAGGCCAGAGTAAAGTGGCATGATTATAACTTGCTTCAGCCTCAAGCACTGGAATTACATGGCTCACACCTGTCATCCCAGTGCTTTGGGAGCCTGAGATGGAAGTTCCTGGCCTCAAGGGATCCTCTCAGCTCAGCCTCCCAAAGCCTCGGGATTACAGGTGTGAGCCATGGTGCCTGGTGGATTTCAGTATTTCAAGAACTGGTAAGCCTGTCTGAGTCGGTGCATACTGGCTGAATATTACCTTGCATAAGCTCTTTGAGGACATTTATTATCCCAGTTTACAGATTAGAAAACTAAGATTCAGGGAGATTAGTTCAAGGTCACCCAATTGTAATGTGATAGAGCCAGGGCTCTTACATATCTTGGCTGATTTTTTGTTTTTTGTTTTTTTTAGATCAAGTCTCACTTTGTCACCCAGGCTGGAGTGCAGGGGCGCTATGTCATCTCACTGCAACCTCTGCCTCGCAGGTTCAAGCGATTCTCCTGCCTCAGCCTCTCGAGTAGATGGAACTATAAGCATGCACCACCATGCCTGGGTAATTTTTGTCTTTTTAGTAGAGATGGGGTTTCACCATGTTGGCCAGGCTGGTCTTGAACTCCTCACCTCAGGTGATCTGCCCACCTCGGCCTCCCAAAGCATTGGGATTACAGGTATGAACCAGCATACCCAGCCTCTTGGCTGAGTTTGAAGCATGAGTTTTGAAGCAGTGTTTTTTAGGTGGAGAGGAGGTGCCACGCAGAACACTTCCTGGGCCAGGCCTGGGTCCACACATGAGAGCCTACCCAAAGGACTGTGCAGTACTCAGC